ATTGAGGTCTTTTACTACCTTGGCTAGATTAACTTCTAGGTATTTAATTTTTTTGAAGCTACTGTTTTCCTAATTCTTTTTTAGTCAGTTAATTTTTAGTATACAGGAATACTGCTGATTTTTGTGTATTTATTTTGTACCTTGCTACTTTGTTGAATTGTTTTTATTAGTTCTAGGAGTTTATTGGTGGAGTTTTTTGGGTCTTCCATGTAAAGGATCTTGTCATTTGTTAATAAGGATAGTTTGACTTCATTTCCTGTACATATTCCTTTTATTTCTTTCTCTTGCCTGATTGCTTTATTCAAGATTTTTTTCATCTGTGGATGTTGGATTTTGTCAAAGGCAGATCATGTGATTGCTATCCTTCTGTTCATGTGATGTCCTGTATACATTTATCGATTGACATATTTTAAATCATCCTTGCATCCTTGGGATGAAGACTGCTTGGTTGTGATATGCTGTATATAATCTTTTTACTGATTTGTTGCTATTTGCCCGAATCTTGTTGGGAGGATTTTTTGCATCTATGTTCATTAGGGAGATTGGTCTATAGCTTTGTTTTGCTTCTCTCTCCCTCCCCTCCCCGCTTCCTTCCCCTTCCCCTGCCCCTCCCCTCTCCTCTCTTCTCTGTTGCCAATTATAGGTCTATTCAGTTTATATGCCTTCTTGGTTCAGTTTTGGTAATTCATGTGTCTAGAAATTTCTCCCTTTCTGTTAATTTTAGGATTTCTCTAATTCAGGCTCTTCTTTTTTTTTTAGGTTTAAAATTTTAAACAATCTTTTATTTCAAAATCAAAAACCAAAATAATTTGCCAAGCAGAGAAAAGATCTGAGTAAAAGATAAACGCTTGCTCGTTATCAGCCCATTCCTATACAAATGGGATTGGGTGGAGAGGAGAGGAGTGGCCAGCAAACCTCACAATGAAGACTGGTGTCAACCGACATCCCCCGCAGATAGACTTCATTATCTTTACTTAGCACACGGCATCACAACATCATGGAGGGCTTAGTTCCAGGGAGGTGCTCCAGTTCCCACCAGTCAGCTTTGTCTCCATGTGCTCCATAGTGTAGTCGAATTGGACAACACATTTGTCTACAATAAACTTTAACACCTTGCTTCTGGTGCTGTTGGGAAAGGAAAAAGAGAAAACAAGAAAGCAACACAACCCAGCAGCACCTCTGCTAGCTAGGCATGCTGACTCCCCTCAGGCAGAGCTTCTGTGGGCCACACCCACCCTACTGTGTCAGAGAGAAAGGGGCAGTGGGACTGGCTTAATCATCTGCACTACAGCAGAAAGCAAACCAAACAGAACTGGCCACAAGTGATCTGGCAGATTTTTAGGTGAGGTTAAAAGTGTCATGGTGTGCACAGGGGGCCAGCGAAGGAGTTTTGGAGGGAGGTAATTCCTGGAGGCAGAATGGATGGTCTGACCGTTCTAGGGGAGCTCCCTATGGGAAGGATAGGAGCTAGGGTACCTGCAGGAAGGTGTTGGTTCAGAAGATGGAGGAGACAGTCTTCTCCCGTGCACTGATGGTGCCTTCACTGTATGAACTGGATTCAGTCGCTGCTCCCACTGTAGGTACCCAGGTCTGGGAGGATGCAGATGTATGCAGCGGCGGAGGGGCAGTGAGTAGATGGGCCACTTACGGAGGTACTTCCAACAGATACACAGGATGGGGCCTCTTGACTCTTGTCATCTGGGTAAGAGTCTGGTTTTGGTCTTTTTCCACTGTTGCCACTCTCTGACCTCTTATGCTTCACAGCTCCTGCCAACAGCTTTCCTGGGAGAACTTGTTCATGGTTTCACAGGCAGTTTCTTCTCTACTGTCTTCTTTTTTTCTGCAGAGATTCCAACCTTGTTGTATTCCTTTAGTTCTCTCAGTTCTTCTCTTTGTTGCTTTTCTATTTGTTCCTGCTGCTAAAAAACCTCATCAAGGAAGTTGATCTCATCTTCATCTAAGCCTCTTACAATAGTTTTGAATTTGAACTGCTCTTCATACTCCTGCTGCTTCCTGTCTTTCTGTTCCTGTAGTCTTTCCTAGAGTGACCGAGGGTCATGAACCTCCTCTGGACATTCTTGAGGATCTTCAGGTTTTCAAACTTTGTCCCATTCTTCTTGTTTCCTTTTGCACTGTTCATCTAATTCTGCCTCAGAAACAAACCTCTTTTTGTTAATAAGGTTACGGTCATCCCCACCATCCATATGAAAGAATGTCTGCCAGTGAGACTCCCTCATCTTGACCTCATTCAGGCTCTTCTAACAGCTCATCTGTTGTACACTGCTGACTCATTTCTGTTTCTAAAGCATAAGTCTGATCATGTCCTTTCTTTGTTCAGCCCTTCAATAACTTTCTTACTGATAAAATGTAGTTCAAATTGTTTCCTTGCCTTCCATGTTATGGTCACATTACTTCTTACATTTTTAATCTGCTGCTCTTTTGTTTCACTGGGAAGAAATGTGGTTATAGGTGGAGAATCTAGAATCAAATTACATAGATTTAAATATTGGTTTTACTACTTAGTAAAAACTGAAGCATTTTACTTAAACTTGTTTAGCATCAGAGTTCTCAAATGAAAGATAAGTTTAAGGTAATATATGATAATGGTGTTACCTATAATGTGTTTAGTACAGTGTCTGGCATGTGATTAAACTACAATAACATTAACTATTACTATTATTCATATAATTCTTGGTTTTCCTAGTTCCCCTACCCAAATGAGTACACCCAGGTCAAATGCTACCTTATTCAAGCTCCCAAACATAAATTCTTCTGTGTCTGCATTGTTATATCATTTGTTTTTCTCCTTACCTGCCTCGTGTTAGTATTTGAGTATATGGTTTATGTCCTCTTGGATTTTAAGATTGTTGAAGGCTAGAGCTACGATCTCATTCTTGTGTGCTGTAGCATCTGGCATGGCACATAGGAACAGCTGCTTATTTATTGAGTGCGTGACGGAACTGCGGTTCTACTTTGCCATATTTGTTATGTACTTGACCTAGAGTAGTTGTCTGTTAAATTAACTGCTTTTAAAGTAGAGCCTTCCAAATTTGTAATGTTTTTAGATTGTTAAATTACACCTTTCCAACCTTAACAGTAGTTTGGCATAATCGTGCTATATTTTCTCTCAGGCTATTTTTGTTACTTGTTTATGAACTTTAGATCTCCTATAAAATACAATTCTCATTCTATTTAATTTCAAAATAAAAATTCAATTAGGTGTCTTCCTCTGTTGTTAAACCCCTGTGGGCCAGAAAATCATAAAAAGTCTTCAAACAAGGATGATACCATATTTAATGGGACCAGTAGAGTCACTTATCACAATAAAAGGAAGTAAATATGCTTCTAATCCTATAAGACTTCTGCTGCTTAAGATTGGACCTGCAAATAATTTGCTTTTAGGAAATTTCATTATATTTAGATTAAGTTCACAGGAGAGTAGGGATAAATCATTTGAGATTATCTGAAACTTAAAAGGGTGACTGTGATTAAAAGTTGTGCTACACAGTTTTAAAACTGGATTCTGTGAAAGAAAAAGCAAAAATAAAGCTGGCAAGTGAAAGGGCAAATGGAGGTATTTCTCCTTCCTTTACTAGATTATGAGCTTTCCTTCAAGGAAAGGGATATGTTTTGCTGTCTGGCTCTAAGCTTTATCAGTGCTTCAGGCAAGTGAATATTTGTTGAGTATCGTTTGTTGAGCCAAGTTCTAAAATCTGTGAGATTGTATCTAATGCTATTTCTATGGTGTTCTTTACTCTCTAGCACATTACTTTGAAATGAGGTATCCCCAATGTGTTTTTTTTTTTTTTTCAGCTTTAATTGAGTTTATTGGTACATTTTAGGGATATAGTACAGTTACATTCATTGTTGGGATCTTGTACCTCTACATGACAAGTCTTGATTCTCATTTTTTCCCCTTACCCCTGCCCTCCCTTCACCCCCTCCTCCCCTCCCCATCTGCAAACACTTTATTTTCATCTTTTCATTATCGCACATTTTTTTCTTTTCCCTTATTACCCTTCCCCTACCCATCCCACCTTCCCCACACCTTTAGCTCCTTTCTTCCCATTTCTAAATGTCAGTAACCTTATTAGGATCTTATGTATTATTGCAGATTATTTACACCAGGGAAACTATTCGGTATTTACACGTGTGACTTATTTATTTCACTTAGGAGTATATCTTCAATATATATCCATTGTGGTTTTAAAAAGAAGAAAAAAATAAAACCAAATCTATATACTGTTTTAAGAGCTTTTCTTTCTTTTCTTTCTTCCCCTCCCCCCAAAAACACTTTTTTCTGAAGGTGTAATGTTTTTTGGTCAAGGCCCACATACTATTACCCTTGTTGTTAAAGGCTGTGGAAGCATTCTCTCCTTCCCCTAGGACTACATTTATAAAATGGTAACTTTGGTTTAAATACATTCTTCAGGAGTTAACATATTATTAAGTTTTTTAGGGTGTGGTGGTGCTGGGGTTTGAACCCAGGACTCTGTGCCTGCCAAGTGCATGCTCTACTGCTAAGTTACAGCCCCAGCCCACTATCTGTTTTTATACTATTGGAGGGGATGGTTTCTATAACTGGGAGTGAGAAGATGAAAAGCTTCCTAATTCTTGGGCCCAGTCCAAGATACAGTCCTTTAGACACAATAATAAATGAGATAATATAGATACAAGAAATCTAAAAATGCATCACTTAATAGGTAACATATAAAATGTGTTTTTATAAATGATAACATTATTGAGTTTACTGTTAAAGAAGAGGGACATTAGAAAAAAAAGAAAGATTGCCTAAAATTTTAATGTTTTCTATTAAACGGTAATTATAAGTTAGTCTGGTTGTATTTTGTTGATAAATGTTATTGAATCATTTTAAAATTAGCTTTAAAATGTTTTCTTTTATAGAAAACATCTGAATGACAGTTGATTTACTATTATGTAAAAATGTTTACAATAAAAATGTTATTTTGCCCTCATTGAAAGTAATATAATGATATCAGTGTGTTCTAGGTCAATGGCTTCTAAGACTCCAGTTGGATTCATTGGACTGGGCAACATGGGGAATCCAATGGCAAAAAATCTCATGAAACATGGCTATCCACTCATTATTTATGATGTGTTTCCTGATGCATGCAAAGAGTTTCAAGAGGCAGGCGAACAGGTAAGGCCTTTTCTTAAGATTTGCTTTAGATTTTGATATTTAAAAATTCATTTAAAAAGTGACAGAATCTTAGAAGTATATTCATTCAATAGAGTTGTGAACCTAGTTCGTTTTTAGCTTTATATCATTACCTATTTAACATTCATTCAACAAAGGAATACTTCCATTAGGTAATTGGGTTAGGGAATCAGTTCTTCACCCGATGACCTAGAGCATTTCAAGCATTTCCCAGACTTGGTCAGAAGTCTTTGCTTTGTTTTGTTAGTTTACTCAGAGAGTAACTTTACTGATTAATATATTGTTAAAGCAGTTAGCTTGGTAAAATTAGCCTCCCAAGTAACAGAAGGCAGGCATGGTTGTCTTAGACTAGAAATATGCTTAGTGACACAAAGCTTATCTTGAGCTCCTGATCAGATACTTACTTACCTGCCATCTTACTGGGGACAAGTAATTTCACCTCAGCTGTTTTCCTTTTCTATAAAATGTAGATGATGGAAACTATGTCATTAGATTGTGAGACACAAATGAGAGAATGTATGTGAATGTTTCTGCAAATATTATATGAAAAAATTTTGTGAATATATATTAGCTATTGGCCATAAGCTAGGAGTCAGCCTAAAAACATTCTGTACTAAAGAACTGAATTATGACAAATCTTTCCTGTATTGTTTTTAGGCTACCATTTTTTTTTCTTCTGGTATAGGGATTGAATTTAGGACCTTATGCTTGCCAGGCAGGTGTGGTGCTACTGAGCTACATCCTGGCCATAAGCTAACATTTATGTTTCAAGAATTTGGGGACTGTAGTTACTCGTACTGAATGATAGTTCAACATACTAGTTAAGCATATGTCTCTTAAGTCTTGTGTTGTTTGGATTTGTTAAACTTTATTAGTAACTCAGATGATAAGAGACCATGTATTAATATTTAAATTTAGGGTTTTTTTCTAGATATGTGGAAATTTTGTACAAGTTTTAGAGTGTTAACTGAGTGGAACTTGGTGAATACTAACAACTTCCTGAGAAATAATAGATAATAGAAAAAAATGAGAGAAAAATAAGCAGTCAGCTTCTGTATAATAGACTTTAAAATATATACAGCACTACTACAAATTGCAATGGTTGGGTAAACAACAGGTTTAAGTAACTGAGAGGTCATTTGCAAAACTGGATATCCTATATCTTTTTCTCCTCTGCGGTTTGTGTGTCAGTTGGAAAGGATAGTAGTATTGATTGAGAATGTGAGTGTGATCTTGGAACTATTTAGAGTAGTGTTGAAGCTGCTCACGTCCATACAGTCTGTGAAAACAGACACTCCCAGTGCCATGAGCTTACATTTGACCCAAGGTAACTTAATGCACTTAGCCTTGTCGGAAAGAGTTGTTTTGCTAGAGAATCTAGAAAAGGTGATCTTTTGTCATCTTCAGATATGGTATGCATTTTAAGTTGATATTCAGTTTGAGACAAATCAATTAATAGTTGTTATGAGGAGATGGATTATTACTTTTTGAGCTAATGTATCTGTTTAGCATTGTCACTTTACAGTGGTTTATGTATTTGTTAGTAGGGCTATTTGGGCTCTAAACTGAAGAAATGTCTTCAAATACTGAATTTAACCAAGATAGAGATAGGAATTGAGTGGAGACTTTATCTGGACTGGCAAAGCAGATGTTTATGGACTTTTAATTATTATTGATGACATTACATTTCCCTTAATTTCTGTAGCACTTACAGCTTATGTATGGAACAACTGAAATGATCATCACTACTTTGTGAATCTCTTCTGCTTCTTCTCAGATTTCCAGGATGTCTGATGCCCTGCCTGAAGTACCTCTTACTTCCGTTCCATAGCAAAATTCTTTTTACTAATTTTAGGTAGGTGTGAGGGAAAGCTACCTTAAGAATGAGGCTTAATCCTTGCTCAGGCCCTGGTTTCAACCCCCTCTCCCCAAAAGAATAAAGCTTATTTACATTTTAAAAGAGAAAGAAAAGATGCTAATATTTAGAGAGCACCTACTATGTCTTTTGGAAGGCAGCTGTGCTCACCGCTGTACCACTAAAGCTTATTCTACTATTTCTTTTGGTAAAAATTTTGTATATCTTGTTCCATTTTATTTTTGTGACAGAAGTATTATGAGGAAACTAATGTATAGGAGAAGTCGGATAATATCCTCAAGGATTACAGTAAGTGAATAGCAAGAACCAGAATCTAAACACAGGTCTCCCATTGACTTCACACCTTTGACTCTTTTTAATTGTATGATGCATAGTCACTAATAGTAAAATTAGTGTGTGAGACATTTTGGAGGGTGTGTAGCATCTTCCTTGATGATTCTGAAATGCAGCACTCATCATCATCATCCAGGTTATTGTAAAATAAAGTATCTAGATCCTTTTTTTTTTGTACTGGGGATTCAACTCGGGTCCTTGCGCTTGCAAGGCAGGCAGTGGAACCACTGAGCTAAATCCCTGGCCCACTAGATCCTCTTTTGGATCAGTGCTCTCAAGTAAGTAATCATTTCTCTTCTGTTCCCTTTTTTAATGTGTGGTTCTATATCCATGGAGTTTGGTGGAATTAAAATAATAATTTATTGCAAAGGGTTGTTTAGAGGGTATACAGTGGTTGAATAGTGGCCCCTATAAAGATACATAAAACTCTTAAAACACAAGAGTACATTTTTATGACTTTGGATTTGTCAAAGGATTCTTTAGATATGACAGCAAGAATGTGAAAAACAAAATTAAAAATAAGTGAATTGGCCTTCATCAGAGTTAAAAAATTGTACATTGTTGAGAAAGTAAAGCCAACATGGTAGTGTATTCCCGTAATCTCAGTACCCTGGGAGGCTGAGGTAAGAGGATTGCAATTTTGAGTCCAGCCTGGGAAATTTAGCAAATTAGTACGGCTTTGGCTGAAAATTTTAAAAGGCTAGGAGTGTATCTCAGTGTGAAACCCCTTGGTTTAATCCCTAGTATCCCCCCAGTTGAAAAGAAAACAGTGGGATAAAATATTTACAAATATACTTGATAAGGAACATGTATCTAAACTATATCAAGAAGTTTTACAACAAAAACATAAACAAGTAATTATATAGGCAAAGGATCTGAATGGACATTTCTTAAAGGAAGTTGTACAAATGGCCAGTAAACACACGAAAAAATGTTTAACACAAGTCAACAGAAAAATGCAGCCAAAACTATGAGACAGCCACAGACTAGGATGGCTAGAATAAAAAAATTAGACACCAGAAAGTATTCATGAAAAATGGAGAAATTAGGGCCCTTAAAATGTGAATGGTATAGCCACTTTAGTAAAGAGTTTAGGAGTTCCTCAAATAATTGACCACAGGGTAATGATAAGACCTAGTAATTCTACTTCCAAGTATATGCCCAAGAGAAGTGAAAACATGTCCACATGGTTACCTCTACATAACAGTATGACTTATAATAGCCTACAAGTGGAAACAACCCAAATACAGTGAACACTTAGGTTATGACGAGCCTGACATATGAACAACTTGGGTTATGACTGGAATTTTAGTTTTAACTTAAGAACAAAGTCTTGAGTTACAACCTGAATGCTGACTGCTTGTGCTTCCAGATGCAGATTTAACCCTTATAGAGTTCTAGAAGGAACATTACAATATCCTTTCCTGTGTGGGGTCAATTGAGAAATCCTGGGCCATGTCTGTCTAAGAACCCTGAGATCTGCCTGTATACAGGAAAGAGACTTTTAAGGCTGTGGAGAGGAGCCTCAGATTTTAATTGACCCAACTGAGTTACAACCAGCCCTTGAGAAGAAATTGTGTTCATAAGTCAAGGGCCCACTGATCTGTGAATGAAAGGATAAACAAAATGTGTTATATCTATATAATGGAATATTATTCAATAATTAAAAAGGAATGAAGTGTTGTTATTTCTTACTATATAGATGAACCTTGAAAACGTGCCCAGTGAAAGAAATCAGTCACAAAAGTCTATTTACTGTATCATTCTGCTCTTGAAAGTCTAGAGCAGTGACAGCAAACCTTTTAGGCTTTCAGTGATAATAAACAGCCAGCCCACTGTGGCACATGTTCTTCAGGTTTGCTACCACTGGCCCAGAGACTAGACTAAGGAAATCTATAGAGACAGAAAGTGCACTGTTACTTTTGCTGGGGAGGGGGTGGAGGTGAGCATAGAGGTATGATGGTTAATGGATATAGAGCTTCTTTGAAAAGGCTCTAAAATTGACCATGATAATGGTTGTACATACCTGTGAATATACTAAAAGTCATCAAATTATAGTTTAAATGGACTTGTATGATATATGAATTTTATCTCAATAAAGCCATTAAAAAAAAAGAATTGGAAGTGTAGCTCAGTGGTGGAGTACACATGCTTAGCATGTGTGAGCACCTGAGTTCAGTCCCCAGTACCACACACACTCAGCTGTCTGTGTCCTACCCCCAGAACTGGCAAATGTGACATTTTTGCAAACAGGATCTTTGAAGATGTAAGTAAGGTAAGGTTCTTGAGATGAGCTCATCCTGGATTTCGAGGAGGCTTTAAATCCAATGACAGATGTCCTCCCAAGAGACAGAAAAGTAGAAGACACAGTGGAAGGCCATGTGAAAGTAGAGGTTTATATAAAGGTTATGCTACTGCAGGAAGCCAGGGAACTCTAGGGGCCAGCAGAAGCTGTTATGGACCTTCCCCTGAGCCTAACCTTGATTTTAGACTTCTGGCCTCCAGGTCTCTGAGAATATATTTCTTTTGTCTTGAACTAACACACTTGCGGTGATTTGTTGTGGCAGCTGGGGGAAACAACACAGCAACTATTGGAAATCTGAAAAAATGCCTTTGTGTGGAATCCACCTGCACTACTTAGCATCTGTGCAATCTTGGGAAAGTTTTTTATTGTCTATAAACTTGAGTTTTCTCATGTGAAGTAAGGATAATAACCATATAGTTTATAGAGACATTATGGATACACACACACACACATACACACATACATATA